GATGTTCAAATGAAGTAGGGGAGGGCTTGGAGTCTGCCCTAAGTCCCATTTCTCAATAGCAGGGCCAAAGAGCATCGGGATTTACAATAGCAAGATGTATTAGAAAATGGGTGGAGTTGGCAGAGAAGACTGCCATTCACTCACTAGCTGTGTCAGCTGAGCAAGTCTCTTGCCATCTTTGGGCCTCTGCTTCATCTGTGAAATAAAGGAAATGGCACTGTGCCGGCCATTCTAGCTGTTGTGTCTCATGGGTGTTTATAGTGCGGTGCAGTGTGAGCCTTAGGGGAGGGTCAGAGTTCATTTTTTTCTCCCTGCAGAAAACAAAAAAGAAGTTGGAGGAGGCAGCCCAACGTCTAGAATGTCTATATGAAAAACTCTGCGAGGGGACAGTAAGTACCTGACTGACTGCCTCTGCCTGGGGCCTCCCCACTGCCACCCACACTCAGAGGAGGTCCAGTGCCCCTTCCATGAGTCGCAGAGCCATCTTCCTGAACGTGGGTCTGGGACTCGAGTCCTCTGATACTGTCAGGGTCGGGGCTGGGCTGGACTCATCTAATCTAAGGGTCAATCCCTCCACAGCTCTCACCGCACGTCCTGGCCGGGCTCCACGAAGTTGCCCGATGTGTGGATGCAGGCCACTTTGAACAGGGACTGGCAGTGCATGCGCAGGTGGCAGGCTGCAGCAGCTTTAGCGAGGTATCCAGCTTCATGCCTGTCCTAAAGGCTGTTCTCACCATCGCACACAAGCTGCAGGGCTGAGCCAGCAGCCACTCTACCAGGAGGCCATTTCTGCTCTTCTTGAGCTCCTGGTGGCAAGGGGGAGTTTCTCAGCGGACTGTGTTTAGCTCCCAGTCCTCTTCCCTTGCTGCTTGGTATATGAGACTGAGGGCTTGGCTCCAACCAGCTGAGTGCCTGCTTCTTACCCTTTGCCTGCCCACCTGGGGCTTTTTCTTGGCCTTTCAGCCTGCGAGGTAGAGTGGAGTCAAGTGTTACTTTCCCTAATGGCAGTCCTGCAGGGCCTGCACCAGAATGTTTCACACAGGCATATTCTGTTTGGATGGCTTCAGAGAGGGAAACGTGTCATTAGTTCAGTCTGTCTCTGCCATGACTCATCTGATAGCTCTTTTTTTGTTCTTTCTCTAACTGTACTTCCCCCTGCCTCTGTCTTTATATTTTAAGGTTCACATTTATTGCAGCCTCAGGGATCTGGAGAGAATTGGTTAATGTTCACTTTTTCAACAAGTCATGGACATGAGGATTGGGTGTGGGTATTGAGCAAAATCAAGAGAAGAAACTGGCCCTTTAAAAATGGAACTTCCCATGTCTTAGCATTCCTCAGAGCTGGCAGGGTTGGGTGGTAAGTGGAGGAGGTGCAGTGCCTTGGTTGAGACTGTGAGGTAGAAGCCTGTAGAGCAGCAGCCCTCAACCTGGGGTCACGACCCATTTGGGAGTTGAGTGACTCTTTCACAGGGATCCCTAAGGCCATGGGAAAACAGATATTAATTACAATTCATAACAGTAGCAGAATTAATTATGAAGTAGCAGGAAAATAATTTTATAGTTAGGGCATCACACTGAGGAACTGCATTAATGGTCGCGGCATGAGCAAGGTTGAGAACCACTGCTGTAGAGGCTTGACCCTAGGCTTGAGCCTGGCCCTAGATCTTAAACTATCCAGTCTGATTTTTAAGGCCAGTTCTGAAATCAGAGCCCGGCTTCCCCTCCGCTGCCTTATGTCTCCAAACTGCTTTCTCTGGCCACGTTTTCATGCTGACCTCTTAAACAGTGCAATAAACTTATCTGCTTTCCGAAGTCCTTTCCCAGTCCTCGTCTCCTCTGGGTCCTTCTTTGCTGATGTTTCCCTGGCTAAACTGGGAGGTCTTGCTTCCTGTACTAAGGCAGGCAGGAGAGAGTTCTGGGGAGAGATAAGAACTAAAATGTGGAGGGAAAGAACTTTTAAAAATTTATGTGTATGAATGTTTTAACCTACATATATTCTGTGTATTACGTTTAGTACTTGGTGCCTACAAAAACGAGAAGAGGTCACCTAGTGGGTGCTGGGAATTGAACCCATGTCCTTTGGAAAAGCAGCCATCTCTCCACCCCAAGAAAATAATTTTTTTTATCTGTAGTCTCATGGACTTGTACTGCAGGCCTTTCCTGGCAATGTCTGTAGGCACACTGCTGTGTTTGTGTGTGTCTGTTTGTCTGTCTGTCTGTCTGTCTGTCCTTCTGACTGTCTCCATCTGTGCCTGACAGTTAGCTGCAGGGTTTCCCCCACACCACTTCAGGGCCCAGCTCAGCTGCACAAAGGGCCTGGGTGTGAAGCCAGGGGGTAGCAGCCCTAATCCTGTTGTCGATCCCATCATGTCTGCAGGCTAGATGTGTGTGTTTGGGAGGGAGGGATTGTTAGGCAGTATTTGTTTGTAAAGCCACTTGCTCTTCAGATAATACTTGTGCTAACTTCTATTGATGAAGCAGTGTGAGCCCCAGCAAAGTCCTTTCCCAAAGTGTCTTTGAAGCCAAGAGCCCATTGAAGGGAAGAAAGGCCGGGAGAGGGGATTAGTTTGTTCAGCAGCTGTGAATTTCAGTGGGAGGTTGATGAACTCTGAAGTCTTTGTTTAAATTAAAGGGGTGGGGGCTGCTGCTGGAGCAAGAGCCCCACTTGGGGCCCTGAACTAACACAAGGAGAAGTCTGAGCTGCAGGGAGCTGTGTACTGACTGCGGAGACTTTTCCCAAACACTTTCGGAAAAGGTGTTGTGAGGAGAGAAGGGGGCGGAGTGGCGGATTAACATGTGAAATGAAGTTTTCATTGACTCCAGCGGGGGTAGAAGGCTGTTTTAATGGCATTTTGTTCCCCTATTTTCTCTTCTTGAGCTCTTTAGAGATATTGTTTTGCTAAGACAGGCTTTCTTCCCTCTTCTTTCCAGTCTGAGGATTGCCTCTATGGGAGCCAACATAAATATTTCTCCTCCAGGAATGTGGGTTAATTAAAAGGAAACGAATGACTGGAAGCATCCAATCCAGACCGACAATAGGCGAGTGCCCCGGCCTGCCCTCCCTCCCACCACCACCCGCGCTACCAGCTTGCCAAGGACGACCCTTTCTCTCTTTGCACTGACCTGCTCCTAAGGCCAAGTGAGGCTGGGATTCTTTTAAAGAAAAGAAAGCCTGCTTATGTGTAGGCTCACAGGCCAGGGGCAGGAAAGAGACAGTGTTTTGCTCACCCCACCCAGTGTTCTCTCAAGGCCTCCTCTACTTCTGTCCTCAGACGGAGACAGATGGGCTCCTTGAGAGCACACAGGAGGGAAGGGGCCTGGGTGACTGTGCCACCCCACACTAACTTACAAGCCTGTTGGGCCTTTCAGTTCAAATGTGTAGAGAAAAGGTTTGACTAGCGGACTTCAGAGCTGCCTAGCCTTCCCATCAGCAGTTTAGAGTTGTCTGCAGAGCCAGAGAGATTTAGTGAAGCCAAGAAGCCTTGAACTGAGGGATGCTGATGGTGTTGTGTTGCTAGCCATCTCCACTCCAGGGTCCTCTGCATGAACAGTGCATGAAGGCGGAGTGTATAGGGAGCAGTATTTCTTTATAGAACTGGGATCAACTGGATGTCAGTCATACCTGCTTGCAAATACAAAGCAACCAACGAAAGAAATGACAGTGTTTAGAGTTTAGAGTCCGACTTTAAAGTTTTGAAATTTGAAGCATGGTGCTTCTACTTCATGCTGAGTGCTCTGGAAAATGCAGCTTTACTTTCCAACACTGAATCTTTAGTTTTCAGTCGCATTGCCACGTTTTCTTCTGTACAAGTAACTGTCGGGCGAGACCGTGGGATTAACTATACTGTTGCTTGATTTGGGAAAAGAAAGGATAACTTGGGAGACTAAGAAGGCACAGATAAAAACTGAGGGAGGAAAAAAAAGAGCCCTTTACTGATAGAGCTGCAGGAGAAGTGGATCCCCTGTTAAAGAAGAGAAAAACGCCCCCAATTAAGTGTTGACAGGACCAGAAATTGCATAGTGGTCTGACTTGGCCAGTGCCAGAGGCAGTCTACTCTTCAGGGCAGCCCCCGGGGCTTTGGCGTTTGTGAGCTCTGCTCTTCCTTTAGGAGAAGGGGAATGAAGTAAAGAATTTGGCTGGCTCTGCTCCAGAAATGTTGTGGCTGCCCACACCCAGGACTAGCCTAGGGTGGGAGCAGTTATGGGGAAGGTCTGGGCTGAGCTGGCTCACCTGTTGCCAAGTCCCTATCTCAAAACAAGCCCCTGCTAGACTGACTGCCCTTCTCCGAGAAAAGAACCTCAGATCCAGAAGCAGCAAGCTTATGGCTTCCAAGTGGAAGGTTTACGTGGGTGATTTACTAATCCCTGGCAGATTAACCTCAGTCAAATCAAGCTAACTACTGGAGGCTCCAGGGAGATGGTATCCTGCCAAAGTGGGAGGGAGGAGAGAGAGCTTAGAAGTTAAGTTTCAACTTTGCCTTCCCCCTCACCATCCCAGTGAGTTCAGGATTTGAGGGGAGGGGCACGTATCAGAGACTGAAATAAATTAAAAGGTCAAGGGATCTGAACATCCTATTAGCAACAGTTTCATAGCAGGGGGATTACTTATCCAGGAAAGCATCCAAGGTTCTGAATCCTGCCCATTTGAGAACCAGGTGTTGGGGCGGGGCTCCTCCTCCCTAGACCCTGCCTTCCCAGGTACAGACCCAAAAGTTGTCTTGATTTACCTGTCTTGGCTCAGAGTGTCTCAGCTCCTTTGGAGGAGGAGACAAGGCACAGAAGACTGCTGTGGCCCGGAAAGGATCGCCAACCTGCCCACTGCCGCCCTCTACCACCCAGACCTCCTGCGTGTGCCTGGAGCTTCTTTGGTGTTTAGAAAGGTCACTGCTCAGCTGATGAAGTCCATCAGTGACGTGGGCTCTGGGGTTCCCTCGTCCCCATATTCAAATGCTTTCTTGTTCCCCGTTTTTTTGTTTGTTTTGGTTTTTTTTCCAGGCAAGTAGAGAAATGGGAAGACAAAGTGTTAGATTCCTGAGGCGTCAACCTCGGGATCTACGTCTAGACTGTAGGCCCTAGAGGCTCTGGTTCCTGGGAGGGAGGTGCAGCTGAGGTGGGCAGAAGGGCCATGTCTTTACCTGGACTCTGCGTATCTGAGAGGGTTCTTTCCTCAGCCCGGCCCGGTAAACTAGGTCCAGTATTAAAACAGCTCGGGTCCGGGGTAGGGTAGGGTGAGATGAGGAGAATCGCCTGTTTTCGTCCTTCTCTCAGGAACTGTGCAGAATTTTAGAACAGTTTTGAGACCTAAGAGTGAGCTACGAAGACCATGCAGAGGAATCCGGGAAACAGTTTAGAAGTGGCACTCGATGGAGACCGCGGCCTCTGCCTGTCAGGATCGCTGGGCTAGGGAGTGCGAGGTCCCCAATCTGGGTCCCTCTATTTCCGGGGACGAACAGGGAAGGAGGCAGGAGGAGACCCTTAGGGTTTCTTCCCAGGTTTGTGCGCAGCGCCTCTCGGCGGCCTCTCGGCACGGCTGCAGAAGTACTTGGTGACCCGCCGGCGGCACTGCTCGCAGCGGACCGCGCAGCACCAGTGAAACTTGCAGTTGCAGCTGGACACCGTCTCGGTGCGGCGCTCCTCCACCGCCAGCCCGCAGTCCCCGCACAGTCGGCGGCAGCTGCGCCGCTCCCAGCGGCCCAGGGCGCGTCCGCGCCGCAGACACTCTCGGCCCTCGGTGCCTTGCAGCCCCAGGGTCTTGTTCTCCAGGCAGTAGTCGGGGGAGTCCTCTAGGTGCACCAGCTCGCGCGTGGAGATGGACCGGAAGGTGTCGGCGATGGCGCCACGGCCCGCCGCGCTGTTGCCCGCGCCCTGGAGCAGGTCCACCTTGAGCGCCGCGTGATACTTCTCCTTCAGGTGCGCGCCCACCTCCCGGAACTCCGGCAGCTGCAACCAGCACGTCTGCGTGGTGCAGCTGCCAGACACGCCGTGGCACTTGCACGTGCGTTTCATGGTGCCCTTGACCGCCTGGGGAAAGAGCTGCGCGTAAGCCGTCCCAGCCCGGAGGAATTGCAAAGAGCCTAGCTAGGGAGTAGCCAGCCGATTGGGTAGAGTCTGTTAAAGAACCGAGGTGTTGGAGCTGGGAGTGGATGAAGCCAGCTGTCTAGTAAAGGGCTGCAGGACTCACCTTACGGCCAGCCTCATTGTTGTGCAGATTCATGGCTGCCCGGGCATCCTGTCCTGTCTCCAGGGCATCCACAAACTGCTTGGAAATTGCTTCTCCGAAGCCCACGTTGTCACTGCAGCCTCCCCAGAGCCAGCCTTGGCCTCCTATAAAGGCAGGGGCAGGAAAGGCCATTAAGTCTACAACTTCCGGGACTCCTGTTTCTAATTGGGTAGAGTGGTGGGATCTGTGGAGGAGACTCTGGAATAGGAAAGGGTTAAGGTTGGTTGAGTGCCATGTTTCTGGATTAGTTTCAATCCTGATTCGTTTTTACCACCTTTTCTGTCCTCTTTCAGCCTGAGCCAATCCCCTCTCAGGCCTCCTTGACAGAATTAGTTGGCACATGGATTCTGCCTGCATGCTTCTCCGCAGGAGGGTGCACGTGTCTGGTGGGTAGGCGGTTGGAGTCTGGGAAGGGACAAGAGTTCAACCTTTGCGAGAGGAAGAGGAACTAAACAGAGGTAACAGGAAGACACGAAGCCGGAAATGGAGTGAAAGGGCCCAGAGGATGTGGAAGGCCATGGAAAATCGTGGGATGAGGGATGAGCACAAGGACAAGGAGAAGTCCCCCTGTGAGTCTACATACGATTCCCTTCTTATTGTGTTTAAGTTAAGGAAAATTTGAGGGGAGAGCAGGCCTAAACTGTTTAAGCAGGGTTGTCACTGCAGTGTGTGGGGGCTGGAACTGGCTCGCCCTGCTCTGGCAGAATTTCCCTCATGTTTAGAAGAATACAGTTGTATTCCTCCAAGTCCCCACCATGCTTTTCGTTGTATTAGTGAACTTCCCCTCCTGCCTGCGCTCCCCATTCCCACATTTCTACTCACCCAGTTGTCCATTTCGGGAGTCATCACAGCCACAGTTGTCAAAGTCTCCAAGGCTGCAGTTTCTCGTCAGGGTGTACATGACTCCAGCAGAGCTGATGGCGTGTACAAACGCTGTCTCCCGGTTAGCTGGGGAGCCAAAGTCCCTCGAGGGTTAGAAGAAGAGGTTGCAGCCCGAAGAAATGCTAATGTGCTACTTTCTCTTACCGCCACAGTCACAGGCACCCTCCTCAGCTCTACGGAGAGGAATCCTGTAGCCTGCCCCCTTTCAGGATCCATCCCCTCCCTGCGCTCAGTCCTCACCTCCATCCTCCCACCTTTCCAAGTCACACATTTTGTGAGTGGTTGGCTAGACCCCTGATGGGTGCTCCTAAAGGAGTTAGGTCGGAAAGAACCCGAGGAAGAAGAGATGACTCTGAAGGCAAAGAACCCAGCCCATTTCCTCCTGGAAAGTCCAGAAAGCCTGTGTCAGTCTTGAAATCTCCTCCAATGGGCTGCCTTCTCAATACTACTAATCTTCTCTGTGGTAACCTGGTCTCCACATTTCTCCTGGCTCAGTCCCGCTCTCTAAGCCTGCTGAAAGGACAGACTAAGCAGTGTGAGGGTTTATGACCCTACCCTACATCTTGGTATTGCTTAGAGTGTGACGAAGCCTTTGGCCAGCTGGGCAGCCAAGGGCAGTACAGGACGGGAGATGAAGCAAAGTGTATTAGACAGTGAGGGAGAGAGAGAGACAGAGACAGAGACAGAGAGAGGAGAGAAAGGAAGGAAAGAAGGAAGAGAAAGGAGGAGAGTAGGAAACAAATGGGGCAGAGAAGGAAAAGAGAAGATTGCAGAGGAGTGTGATGTACTGAGCCAAGAGACTGGGTGAAAATTAAGGATGTAGAAAAGGAGGGGCCCAAGCTATGACCAGGGGTTCCTGGAGCAGAGGCCAAGGCTTTCCTTACCACTGCGGAGTCCGCCATGGCTGGACAGCTGCAGAGCTCTCTCGGGGCAGTTCCAGCGGTCCCAAGCAAACTGGTATTTACATTCTTCAATACCACTCTGGGCGCCAGCTGCCACACTGCTGGAGTAGACGAGGTAAGCCTACAGGAATATGGGCTCAAACTTTAGCTTCAACTTAGAAGACCCTTGTCCCGAGCAACTCTCTGACACTCTGACACTCCCAGTTTCCTAAAGCGTGGGCTGAGAAAGCAGGCTACAGGTGCTATCTCATTTCATAGCGTCGGTGTTCTTGTCCATCACGAGGTCAAGACGCCAAGGCTCGGAGAGAAGTGCTATGCCCAGAGCCTCACAGTTGGCAGAAGGCCAGAGGAGGGGTTGAATCTGATGTCTATCAAGCCCTACTTCCCACCAGTCTTTGCTCATCATACTAAAGCATCTCTCTAAAATTCTTGAAATCTCAGGTCTCTTCACCCCACTACTAGGTAAGGATTGCTATTCTGGAACTACTTCCATGTAGTGCAGTTCCTGAACATTAGGGGGTCACTACTCCTGTCAAAGCTGGTGCCTTTTCTGGTTCTGGAGATTTCCAGCCATACATTCAGTAACAACCCACCCAAGTTCTCATCTGAGCTCTGGAATTTGCTGAGGCTGCAGGCAAGTAAGTCTCTGTCTGTGCTGTGCACTGCAACATGATGGAGGCTGTAGGTGTAATGAAACCACCTGTGTTATCCTCAGCCAACAAGTTAAAACTAGAGACACCTGAGTTCGTCAAAGACTTCTTACCTTTGGGCCGGTCATCAGAAAATTGTTCACTGACCTAGAAGAAGGAGAAAGAGCACAGTGGAGAGATGCCAGTTTGTTTCTGCTTCCAAGAGTCACAGAGATCATTACCACAATATCACTGAGGAAGGACAATTAGCTTTCATAAGATGTTTATGAGCAGGCTAATAAAGATAGCCTTCGCAGGACCAGCAAGATGGCTTTAGCGGTAAACGTGCCTGCTGCCGAGCCCGGCAGCCTGAGTCTGATCCTGGGAACCCACATGGTAAGAGAGAGCCAGCTCCTGCAAGGGTTTTCTGACCCCCACTCATGTGCTGTAGCATGTATGCTGATTCCAACACGTGCGCATCCTAAATAAATTTTAAAATAGTTTTAAAAATTAAAGATAACCCATTTAGTTAAAAATATAAATTGAGAGTATATATTTCTTTAGATTAAAAAAGGCTTATTTTTAAGTATATGAGTGCTTGCCTGTGTGTGCATATCATATCACATGCCTGAGGAGCCCAGAAGAGGCTGTCAGATCCCCTAGATCTGAGTTACAGGTGGTTAGGAGCTGCCATGTGGGTGCTAGGAATTGAACACTGGTCCTTTGGAAGAACAGTCAGTGCTCTTAACCACTACACCATCTCTGCAGCCCCATTTCTTTGGATTTTTAAAGTCAGCTATAATTTCCAGTACCATAAACAATTTAAAATTACAGCTTCCAATACCATAAAAACTGGAAATAATGATTGATTATTGTTTTGCCACAGTCTGGAGACAGAGCTAGCATTAACTCACAATTGGGTACCAGACGCTACTCAGTATTTCATATGTAGCTCTTTTAAATCATTTCTGTCCCATACATTTTTTCTCGATTTTGTCCGTGTGGATCTAAGGAAAAACAGCTTACTACATGTTCAGGCTCACTCAGCTAATAAGTGGGGATGACGGATCTGATCCAGGTTTATCTGACTTCACTGGACTGTAGAAGAACACCTGCCTAATTAGGAAGAGAAAACAGTGGAAAACCTGTCCAGGGTCTCAATAATTTAATCCCCAAATCAAGCTGAATCTGAAAAGTAGCTTGATGTCTACTTGAAAACTAAATGGCTTCGCTCTTCGGACTTTATCTCGGGGAAATGAAAACTGTTTAACCTAGGAATTCATGTGTTTGAACTTCTGAGTGTGAAAGTTACAGCCAGAGCCTTTGCTGGACTTGCTGGTGCTTGCAGCAGGAGAACCAGAAGTTCAAGGCCAGCCCCATCTGCATAGCTAATTCCAAACCAGTTTGAACCACTTGAGACTCTGTCTCAAACTAACAAAACAAGCAAATTAAAATTAAAGCAAATTATAGCCTTGCTTATCATACACAAGTCCACTGAATTCAAGCCTTAACACTGCGACAATAAAAATTATTATAATAACAAAAATCACCATGTATTTAAAACAAACAAACAAACAAACATCTACACCATGGAATACTACTCAGCAATAAAGAAAAGGAACTATTAATACCCTCAATTATTTGGATGAACCTCAGGAAATTAAAGTCAATCCCAGGCTGGGGTGATGGCTTAGCCATCTGTGTGATTACAGAGACAGGATCCCAGAGTAAATTGACTAGCTGGCCAGCTGAATCAGTGAACTCTGGGTTCAATGAGAGACCCTGCCTCCCTCACTGTATGAAATGGAGAGGGTTTCAGGAGACATCCAATGTCAACCTATAGTCTTTATATGTATGCACATGTGCAGTGCCACACAGATAAACACACATGCACATATGCCACACACATACACCCCCCTGAACAAGTCAATATCAAAAGAATATGTATTTCTGGGTCTGGTCCTGTAGTTGTTACCATTTGGGAGACTGAAGCAGGGGGATCACAGATTAAAGGTGTTCATGAGCTACAGAGCAAGTTCGAGCCCAGAATGGTCAATTTATGAGGCTTTTTCTCAAAGTGAAAAAAAGAAAGCTGCAGTTATAATTTAGTTAAACACTCACCAAACATGCAATTCTCATTACCACAAAAGGGGGATGTTTACATAACAACGCTGAAGTAATGTGATTATGGAGCTAAAAGCAGAGTAGTGTAGCTAGTAACAGGCTAGTGTTTTGCCAGGAGTTTGGAATGGAGAGATGGATGCTGCTATTAAGAGTCATGAGCCTTAGTGATGGTAAGGGTCTTAACTACGGTCATGGTTACACAAGGGTACAGCATGGCAAATTTGCATCAGGATTTCTCTTACACACACACCTACACACACAAATATATTAGCATCGGGATGCAATAAAAATAGTGTCTGAATAAATTCTAGGGTTACTGGATAATAATTGTAAGATGGGAACATCAACGAAGACTGTGGAAAGGGTACAGAAACTTCCTAAACGTTTCTTTGCAACTTTTGCAAATCTATAGTTATATAAAAATGTAAAGTTAGACACATATGATCTGAAGTCTTGGATATTTGGGGAATGACTTCAAAATAGACATTTTATATCAATCAAAATATATTATCTGATAGCTTTCCATCATAGGCAAGTAACATGGGACTCCTTGGGCTGTACCCCAAAGACTCATATCCCCTTGCAATTTTGAAGCCTGGAAAGGTAGTTAACCTCAAAAAGGAAATTAGAAACAAAATAGCTAAAGAAAGTCATTCTCTTATTTGTGACCAATGGGATTGGTGGACTCTCCACATGAAACACAGCATCCACAATGTGGGTAGTTTTGGAGAAGCAATATCAGCAGGTTGGAAGGCTTCCGTATGAAAAGACAGAGATTTTTGAAAGAGGGGGAAAGAAAGCATAGAAAACTACAGAAGTCCACAGAGTCAGCAAAAGGAAGGCCTGCCTATGAGAGCCTGGCAGACAGTTCAATCAACTAAGACAAAGCTGTGCTCTCCTGGGATCTGTACCAAAGAGTCCACACCTACATTTGAGATTCAAGATGATTTCAGTGAATTCACGATTGTCAAAGCCATTCTAGGTTCAGAGCTAAATTTCTGACCCTTAAAAGACTGGTACCAAAAGGGCTAAAGAGCACAATCAGAGTGAAAGGGGAATGAAAGAATCTGGAAACCATGCGACTCAAGATGGAATCAAATCCCTTAAATAAAAATTTATTTACAATAAAAAAAAGACTGGTGCCAAAATATCAGGAAAGTCGAGGCACTCACCCTGCCTCAAAAGAGCAGTCTTTATGTTTGGAAGAGCTTGTAAGCTAGGCATTGCCAGACCAGACAGAATAGTTTCTGTTTTACAGGACAGACATTATTGGGAACGAAGACAGAATGAAACAAAACATGGATGACAAAGGATGAAGCTTTACCAAGGCTGAGCCTGGGTCAAGAGTCTCTCCATGAAAGAATCTAAGTTAGGAAAGCAGGCTAGTAAGGGATGGAGTACCTGGTGGGTTTTCCCCTCCTACAGCCTACAGTAAGAAGACATGTGTAACATGCTTGTCAGCTGAGCCAATTAAAGTGACAAGTTTAGCTATACACCTGTCATGGGACAAGACTTGGGCCTTCTTTGGACAATATTCCCTTGCTTATGTTGTTATTTGTAAATATATTTTGTCCATGTGATGGCCTCACTTGGATGCAAACCATCCAGCATCAAGAAAAGATTCTGTGTCCTCGTGGCGAGCACCAGAGCAGGACCGTGTGGTTAACGAGACAGTGCTATGCTGTCCTTTGAGCCAATAAAAAGAAAGATTGTGGAAGGCATAGTGGAAGGATAGTGTGGTAATATGGAGAGAATGAGGAGGGAAGGCATTTGAGCGCTGTTAGGGGCTCGGCGCCTTCTGGAGACAGTCACATGACTGAAGGGAAGACACTGCTAACAGACATGGACGATACAATGTCTGTTTCGTAGATAGCAGCTTCTCTATGGGTGGTCATGATGTGTACTCTCAGATGGAGGTTCCCATTCCCCATGAGAACGCTGCCGCTGCCCACACTGAGTACCGTTCCAAAGGGCTTTTGTCTTCCTGGATCTTCCTAACTATTCTCAGACCTTTTGGTTCAATCTCCAGACTTGTACGTTCAACAATAGTCTTGATTTGGTAGGCATTCGAATTCATTTGCCTCAGAGTGAACTCTTGCCCACTCCTCACCTCAACCTGCTCCATCAGTGGTCACTCCACCACAAAACCGGAAAGTCCCTCCTCACTCAGATAAAAGTCCCCGCAAGTCATCTTTGACGCTTCTTTTCTTATTCTGTACTCAATATGTCCTCAAATCTTGTTGACTGCAGCTCATGATGTAGTGAGAGTTTTCAACATCTCACCTAATTCCACTCTGGTTCAAACCACCACCACCTTTGGTCTGGATTATTGGGAAAGTCTGTTAATTGGTTCACTGTGGGGTTGTACACCAGTAATCCCAGCACTGGGGAGGGTGTATCTGGAGGATTTTGAGTTCAAGTTTATATGAAAAGTTCCTTACACTCAGCCATGACAAACAACTCAGTTTACAAACAGGCACATGACTTGCATATAGACCTTTTCCCGAAGAAGATGCTCCCTTGAACCCATGGAAAGATGTTCACTATCACTTGCCATCTAAGGACAAAATCACAAGAATCATGCCCACTGAGGCTGCTAAACAAAAAGAAGACTGGATGTGTGTGTGTGTGCCTTTAGACCCACTCAGGAGCACTCAAGGCAGAGGATCTTTCTGAGTTAGATAGCAGCCTGCTCTCCATAGTGAGTTCCAGGACAGCCAGGGGGCTACATAGAGAGACTCTGTCGAAAGGAAGGAAGGAAGGAAGGAAGGAAGGAAGGAAGGAAGGAAGGAAG